TTCTGTTTGAGATGCTACGCTTTGTTTGGCCGATGTAGGATAGGCCACAATCACAATCCAGTCTGTAAACGCCTGCATCTTGTAAAGGGATAGTACACTTGCTTGGTTTCAGGAATTGCTGAATCTTCTTGTGCGGCTTGAAAATTGTGTCAATAGAAGCTCGATTTAGGACTCTGCTAATTCTATCTGTAACTCCCTTCACATATGGTAGGTAGGCGGGCTGACGTTTGACTGTGGGTGGCTTGTTCCTGTTCCTGGGATGCTGCGGAGGGACTCTCAGCTTGTTCTTGCATAGGACCTGCTTGACATGCTGTAACTCCTCATTTAAGTGGGCAGCATCACAGAGACGGCGGGCTCTCTGAAACAAAGATACTCCGACAGAACTAAGTTGGCTGGGGTGGTGATGTGAGTCACCGTTCAAATACCTATCTGTATGGGTTGTTTTTCTAAAGACGGTATGCCCAATATTACCGTGTTCATCACGAATTACTAAAATGTCTAAGAAAGGTAGTGTGTTATTGTCCTCCTGTTCCATTGTAAACTTAATGTTATTGTGAATTGAGTTAAGGTGTGTAAGAAATGCAGATACTTGTGCTTTGGGTAAGATGGTGAAGGTATCATCTACGTATCGCTTGTAAAGCTTAGGTTTAACCGGGGAAGAAGCAAGGGCTCTCTCCTCAAAGTCTTCCATAAAAATGTCAGCAACTAAGGGTGAAACTGGAGAACCCATGGCTACCCCATCTACCTGAACATAGAAATCCCCATTCCAAAGTAGGTACCCGGTTGTCAAGCAATGTTCTAAGATATCCGCATATTCTATAGGCATGTTGTGTTTAATAAGTTTGCTCTTAATAATTTTGATACAATCAGCTATAGGTAAGTTTGTAAAGAGTGATGTGATGTCAAAGCTTACCATAACCTCATTGTCCGCTACCTTTAGACCTTTAATAGTTTCTACAAACTGATACGAATCCCTGACGTGAGCATTTGTATTTCCCCTGAGGGGGGCAAGTGTTCTGGATAAGTGTTTTGCTAGTTTATAAGTGGGCGAATCTATTTGACTAACTATTGGACGTAAGGGATTGTTTAATTTATGAATTTTAGGTAACCCGTACATTTTAGGTGGCTTCGGGCAGGCTGTGATGAGATGTTTGGCGTCGAGGTTTAGAGTCGTTTTGTACTTGTTAATAAGTTCCGACGTCTTTTTCATTACTTTGGTTGTGGGGTCCTTTGCAACCTTGTTGTAAACCGCGTCGTCATCAAGTATTTCCGACATCTTTTGTTTATAGTCCGACGTATCCATCACGACCGTGGCGTTTCCCTTGTCAGCACGCAGTACTATAATATCTTCATTCGCTCTTAGTTGTTTGAGAGCAGTCGACTCCGCTAGGGAAAGATTGTGTTTAGGCGGCTTGCTGGAGCGTAGGATACAGGATATATCCTGCCGTATTGCTTCCGCATCTTCCTTAGGGATGACATTTTTGAAGATGCTTTCCTCGACGTAGCTGATTATCTCTTCGCAAGGTATTTTTCGCGGCGCCGGAGCAAAATTTAGTCCTTTGTTTAATACTTGAACGGTGTTTTCATCTAAATTGACTTTTGAGAGATTGACAACTAAATTTTGACATTGACTTTGATTGTCATGACGTTTATACAAGTTAGTTTTGTCTGTGAGTTTTGTAAATTTTTTAATCTGTTTATTTTTATAAATTGTGTATTTATTGAATGCAAAGCATCCGAAACGTCGGGCCGAAGTTAAAAATCATTTTCAAATAAGTTTAACTAATATATCGCGTTTTAAACCGTTAAAGTGTTTTATTTAAATGTGTACTACTCGCGTAAACTATAGACAGTATTTAACTGATTTGATTTTGAGTCATTAATTGGTTGATTGAAGCATTGATTTAAATAGATAATACAGCAATTAAAGGTCTTTTTTATAATATCTAATAGTTTTATCTAGAGGTTAAATACTAATGATAAAGCTACAGAGTATGTTTGTTTGGACGCGTCGATCTCAGAAACTACTTGTTCGAATATTCGAATTCGAAGTATTATTTTAATGTTGAATAGACTGTGTATCGAGGTAAGCTTTAAGTTATAAAAATCACGCTGCTACCAATAGAAGCAATGAAACAGAGGGAAAATTGAGATAACTATTTATCTTTGAGGGCTTTCGTTGCGTGCGTTGCAAAAACGGTTCAAGAAATCAAAATATATGTATAAAAGAATAATTCTTCTTTAAACGATCTAAAAAATGACCGCAACAGTATGCCATGTTTTTAAGATTAACCGTAAAAATGACGACGATGATGTCGTGAGTGACAGCTATAATTTTAAAAGATGAGTTTCGAAAAAAAATGTTGATGCCCAAAATATTGACGCGGACAAAGGCGCGGGCACAGCTAGTAACGAATAATCCGATAACCGGACATACGTTACCAGAGTTGTTTATGGAGGGACATAACTATTATAGCATCGAGGCCTTACCAATTTTTTTGGGTCAGTTTTATAGTTTCTTTGAAGGGTATGACGACTTATAGAAGTTACTTTCGTTAGGTTTATTAGTGTTAAGTAAGAATTCTATATTTTGATCGCATTTATAGTTCAATTGTAGATCGTGATGGCTAGCATTGACCACGAGGTTCCAGGTTCGAATGCCGGGGAAACCGTAAATTATTTACTACAATTAATATAATTGACAACTACTTGCCTGTTAAACAAAATCGGACGTACACAGAAATATTTTCACGCCCTACCACAGAGAAAAAAACGATACGCCCTCATGGGGCATGTCCCAGAATGTGTCAGTTTCACTGATCGCTTCTTTTACAGGCAAGCAGTTGATTAGACTTCTGTGCCCTAACCGACCGAAATCATCTATTGTTTCCCGGAATTCGATGTCAGGACCTCTCGTACTTAACGTAATACGTTTAACCATTTGACTAGAGAGGCGGTCGACGCTACTTTATACATACCTAATATTATACTAATGTACATAAATAAAATTATACATATTTAACCAATAAGTAATAAATAATATTTTTGCTATTTATAATATATTATGAAACTTTGTTTCATAGTAAACGTAAAACAAGCATACATCTTTTCAACTCTACATTTCAAATAGTTCTTCAAATGACGATACTCAATGGAAAGATACATAACAGCAATATAAATGACTAACGTAAGTCTATTAAACTTGTAGTTAAAAAATAACTAGCCCTTTTAAACACGAAACTTCAATAAAATTATTAATTTATATCATTAAATGGAATCCGTTTTACGTGTTTCCTTTTGCGTTTTGTTTTTTTAAAAAAACACGTTTAAAAAAGGAGGTAACAAATGTTGGTGGTGAGGCAACAAAAACATGTGTTTTACTCATATGTGCTTTGATCACTATGAACACTGTAAACAAAAAAAACATTTTTATAGTAAGTACTTCCTGTTCAAAATCTTATCAATATTTGGTTATCTGCTCAAGGACGTTAACACAATGATGTAAACAATTAAAGGGTGTTAACCCATCGACGATAAAACACTAGTTTGTGCCTGCGGATCCACCTTTAAATTTAGTTCAAATCGTGAGTTATTTTAATGAGAAAATTTAATAATTTAAAGAAAATAGACATAACGGTTAAAAACGTCAGTTAGTCCCCCGATAACAACGGCAAAGTAACCAAAGCGACGGGTCGTAATGAAATGAAATTAAAAAAGTATCTATTAAAATTTCGCATTTTAAACCTTAATGGTTTAAAAAAGTAGATACTTAAGAAAAGAGATTTCTCGAAGAGAATTGTGAGAGGTCGGTCTCATGTTAAACTCTCTCAGTCTCAGTCAACTTAAACTGTTCTTCCACTGAAAAAGAGTCGTGCCCAACACTGGGCTTTCACTACATTTTAATTTTCTTCCATCCTAAATACATTTAACATGTATGTACACATCATTATGAATAGAAAGTTAAGAATATTACACACTATTCTTCAAATGTAGTGCATTTGACACAGACTGCTTTTGACGTGTTTCTGTCTCAATTGCCAGGCACTCCATCTTCAACCAGGTTTGAATGCTACTTGTACTTAGAGGCGCTTTGAAGACGTTTTCTAATAATTACTGAGAAATTTATTTTGAAACTACAAGAAGTAGAAGAAACGTTGTAGGCTTATTCATAACATATAATTTACAAGTTGTTTTACCTCGTCGGCAAAATCTGGATATTAAACGGGTAGTAGGAATAAAAAAATACACGAACCACCATCTACAGATGAAAAAGCCATGAAGTAGATTTTCATAGAGAAAATAGGTAGACAGCATCTTTATTTTTTTCTTGTTTAATTGTTATATGTCTGGTTATTTTTACCGTTCACCAAATTAACCCCACGCTTGAAACCTCAGACCACGATTAAAACAGATTTTTAAATGATTCAAACTTAAAATATATAATTAAATATTTGAGAGATTAAATAAGAGTTCGATGGCACGGGTAGAATTAACCGCTTGTGCTTTTAGCAAATAAGCTTTCGAGTGCAGTGAAAAAACAATTGAATAAAATATAGCTATCGTAATAAATAAAATGTTAAAATAATAATATTATTACTGAACAACTAGGAATTTCAGGAATTTGATTGCCTCCGCTTGTTTTTTTTACAAATATTAATAGTGCAGATGAAAGACTTTATAATAACTTGGCAACGGTAAGATGGTAAATCGTTACTAATTAACTGGCATGACTTTTACTTTAATTTCTATATCTGCATCTAATTTGTCCTATCAAAATAATGTATTATATAATATACTACGAATCCACGATAAATTTGAATTTATTGAAAGTAATAAATAGATAAAAAATTGTAAAGTAACTTTTCTTCAAAATATCTATAAAACGGATAAACAATATTTGTATAGATCGTGACGTCGTCTTATCTATCATAATTAAAATATACTTAAGAAATAGTGATAACACGCTTCAATAGACTGGATTGTCAGTATAACGCTCGATCATGCTGGGCGTCTGGTCAGTTTTGTCTGTGGTATTTTTAAATTTCTATACCACAGAATGTGCGAAAATACTCGGAGTATTCCCTACACCGTCCATAAGTCATCAGGTCGTGTTTCGGCCTCTGATTCACGAGTTGGCGAAGCGAGGACACGAGGTCATTGTAATTACACCAGATCCGGCATTCCCTAAGGGCCAAGCCCCTGCTAATTTAACTGAAATAGACGTCCACGACATATCCTACAAGAACTGGGAGGACTTACTTAACTCACACAATGGAAAGAAGGAAGATATAAGAGAACAGGTCATCAATTTGATCGAGAAGTTCACGTCCACGTTCGAAAAGCAAATAAATACGCCCGAAGTGAAACGTATTTTGACGGAAGAGAGGTATTCGTTCGATTTGATAATTTCAGAAGCGAGCGTTCGGATGATACTTGGACTCGCACATTGGCTAAAGACACCGATCGTCCAGATCAGTTCTTTTGGAACAACCCCAGTACATTATGGACTACTAGGCGCTACTACTCATCCTCTTCTCTACCCCTCACCAATAACCGAGAGGTTATATAACATGACTCTATGGGAAAAGGGCTGGGAGCTATTTAAACATTTCGCTTTCGAACATTTATTACTGATCACTGAAGAATCAGATCATAAAGTAGCAAGGAGAAATTTTGGTGAAGATCTACCGAGCTTTGACAATCTATTCCGTGAATATGTTCAAATGCTGTTTCTTAATGAGCATCAGATCTGGGCTCACAACCATCCAGTGCCACCAAACATTGTTTACGTTGGAGGTATTCACCAAACACCTACTACGGAACTTCCAAAGGTATTTTTCTCTTTTGATTAACTGACAATTTTAAAGAAACGGATAAGAGTATTAATTAAATTTTGAGAGACCGATCGATATAATTAATATCGCTTTGCATATAAAGATCGAGCACCAGTAGATAGTATTGATTTTGTCTTTGGTAATTTTTTTACACTCTTTTTGTTTTAAGGATCTCAAAACGTTCTTGGACACTTCAAGGAATGGAGTTATATACACAAGTTTTGGTACTAATGTTAAGCCAGCCAATCTACCAAGGGAGAAAGTTCAAATGATGTTAACAGTATTTTCAAAACTCCCTTATGATGTTCTATTGAAATGGGATGAGGACATGTCTGAAAAACCGAGTAATGTTAAAACAGCTAAATGGTTACCGCAAGCTCAACTTCTAAGTAAGTAATAATAAATATAAGGTTTCAAAACATTAAACATCCATAGTAAACCATCGTAAGAAGTGTATATACAGTAGAGGAAATATAAGTGACATGAGTGTTTGCCTTGCAGAACATCCAAATGTGAAACTGTTCATAACTCAAGGTGGTCTTCAGTCAACTGATGAACTGATAAATGCTGCGGTCCCAGTGATAGGTATTCCGATGTTAGGAGACCAATGGTATAACACCGAAAAATATGTTCATCACAAAATTGGCCAGCAACTCGATATACATCAGCTTACAGAAGAAAAGTTTGCTAACGCAATAAAAACTGTAATTGAGGATAAGAGGTACGTATCTACTAGTGGGTGTCGACTTGCGTATGAACCGATAATATCGACCGATGTGAGTATTATTATTGTTTAGTGTGCAATTTGACAAGAAATAATTCATGCACAATCAGGTGTTTAATAAGATTACATTCAATACCCGGTGGTAATGATTATCTCTGGATTCGGTACGATATTATCCGAATATGTGTAAATGTTCCATTGTTTTTTAAAAATGATCACTCGAGATACAATTTCGCAAATCTTTGACGCACCTTACATTTGGTTGCTTTAAAATTATTTTATGAAAATAAAAATATATTTTTAAGATTGAGAATCGAAATATTAAATGAAATATCCCTAGAGATAGGATAGTAATTTGTAGTCTACTATTTTTTTAAAGTGAAAAGTATGAAGTTATCTTACAATCATTGTATTGATGAAATTGCATGATTTCTAGATCGATCCAATTTTGACTCATATTCATGTAGCTAAGCCAAGTTTTATTAAATATAATTAAATATCTGCACTGTTAGCCACTTTGTAGATTGGATAAGTTTTAAGTAGCTATACTTAATTTTAAATGCTCTCATCCTCTCACTTAAGTACATAAAATAATGACGTATATATTCGAACAATTTGTTAGTATTCTTTTTAAACCAGTCGTAATCGAAAACGACTAGACTGATTTTCGTAGGTTTAAAAGATTACAAGAAGCATATTGAGTATCGATTTATGAACCTTTGATATCTTTATCCCAGATAGCAGAACAGAACATTTAAAACGGTCAATAAAATCACTTATCGTCGCAATTGTAATAATATCGATAAATGTAAACTAATATTTTGATAGCATTTAATAGATTATTATAAGTTAAAATTCTATTTAGTTAAAAAAAAAACGCGTGCAGGAATTGAACCGGCATCTACAGAGTTCTTTGCTGCTGCTCTAAGCAATTGAGCTACCGTGTTGTATTTTTTTCATTGTTAATATACGTTTTTAAAATTTTAATTTTTTTGCACATGATGGCACTATATAGATTAAAAATCAAAAAGTATTTTCGACTCGGGCAGAAGTTGAACCGGCATCTTCATCGTTCCGTGCTTTTGTTCTAACCAATTGAACTACACGAGTTTTTTCAATTTATTTTTGATTTTTTATCTTTAATGTTCATATATTTTAATTAGTATTGTCATTCTACACCTCATTTAAATTTTATTCTTTTTTAACTTTTTATTGCAGTTACAAAGAAAATGTTATAAGGCTGCAGTCGTTGATGCGTAAATTTCCAATAAAACCGCTAGACTTGGCCGTCTGGTGGACTGAACATATCCTGGAATACGGTGGTAGCCACCTGAGGCCACCGTCATTCATGATGTCGTCATATGACTATTACGAAGTACCCCTCATCGCAGCTTTACTTGCGACTAGTTGTGTACTTCTGTACATCGTTGTACTTATAATGTTTGCCTTTAAAAGATTGTTATCATATATACTCAAAAACATACGGATCAAGGTAAAAAAATTATAGTGTATTATCACATTACCTTATAAGGATTCTCTCTATAGGATTATTTTTTAAAGATGTAAAGTTATCGAGACTAGTTTCTTAAGACTAAGGAAATCTATAAATCAAATACTTCAATAACACACTTTTAATGGTTTAAAACCCGAAATATATTATTTAACTTATTTTTTATTTATTTTAAGCTCGACCCTACTTTTTGGATGCTTTCCTTTATATATACTGTTTTAAACCATTAAAAGTGGTTCTATTTAAATGTGCTTAAAGTATAGATAAAAGTAAAATATTGTTTTACATGTTAAAAAAGATCTAATTACCAGTACTTCCTCCAGCAGTAGTTAACAGTTTGACAATTTTATTATAACGAACGTAATAATTTCAAATTTTTATCGTTTAACTCTGTATGACTTATTGGTTTTGTATAATTAAAATGTTGGTATATAGACTGTAAATAGGCAAAACTATCCAGTTATTATCCCAAAGGACCTTTGATAATCTATAGCTGGAGTAACGCCATCTCTGAGACGGAAATTAAACTATACAAAATATGGCGTAATTCTTCCCTGTAAGTGAAACCAGCCAGTGATAAAAATTGCCGCCTTTTAATATCCTGCTTTGTCTTTCGCACAACAAGTAGATTTTAATCTACTACTAGTCATCGTAATGTTAATCGATATCTTCAATCCACGATTGCGTATAGATTCTGGGCATTAATGTTATCTTAGATAAGCAAATTTTGTTAGCAATAAGTACCTACAGCAATAATTTTAAACAATAATTATGTAATAGGTAATACGTATATCATAAATAATACTTTTCATGTGATTTGTCAGTAATTCTATGAATGAATAAAATATATACGGTTTTATACACACTTGTTATCATTACATCGAGGTTATTTTAATGTGTAAAATGTTCAACTGTTAACCAAAGCCAAAATAGGTAAACCACGCATCTCGTTTAGATGTTATATTGCTGTTAAGAGCCCCATGCTTATCTGACTGTCAAACATAAAAAAAATTCGGTAGAAAAAAATTTGTAATGTGAATTAATCAAAGTTTCTTAACCATATTGTTTATATTTTCACACCCTCACAAAAAATATATATAGACTATACAAATTAAAATAGGCTTATGTCAGACTGCAGATATATTTATTTTGGTGGGACACAGAAAATAACCTTATCTGGTTGTACAACGGTCACACATATATGTCTGGCGTTTAAGACATAGGAAGCAAACATTTTACTTTTATAAGGAATAAAAATTGGTGTTCCTTTGTGATATATCTTTACTACCATATAAGCTGAAGAGTTTGTTTGTTTGAACGCGTTCATCTCAGGAACTACCGGTTCAAATTATTATATTTATTTGTCGGTTAGAGCATCTATTGAGGAAGGCTATAAAATATCGTCCTGTGACTAATACAAGATACAGAAATTTGGGAAATTTATTCATCATTATGGGTTTCTCAGGCGTACCTTTTTAAATGATCTAAAAAAGATTAACTCGCAAGAACGACGGATAGGAACGCCTGCGACGTAGTGGGTAACAGCTTAAGTTTATAAAGGGATTTATTTGGAAGAACAATATTCTTAGCGCACGAAGTCGCTGAAACAGCTAGTTCAAAATAATACCTTGAAATATTAATATTGGTATTGAAAATATATAGAAAATATTTAATTTAGAGATGCAACAATGTTTTAAAATATTGCACAAGTGTATTGAAGAGTTTTCTCATTAATATATGCTTACACGATGCGCCGAGAACCCTTGTAAAATAAATATATGAAAAGAAGCGAATTTTACGTGATACCAGAAACGATCGATCTAGTTGTGATCGATCTTTGAGAAACTTAATGTAAAAATGAGTAAACTAAAATAGTCCATTTTATGTATAGTGCTTACATTAAATTAGTCGAGTGCGTAGGCCTGATCTGTGAGCACAAAAGTTTGATTCTCGGAAACTTAACTGTTCATCCGACGTGTACTGCATAAAAGAGTATTAATTTTTCTCATTAACCAGCTGATCTGACAAACGGTGTTTAGTTCTTTGAAGAATGACTATTATTACTTGGATACAAATAATTGGTAATAATAAATTAAAAATCGATTATAAATATAAAAAGTTTCCACTAAGGCCAGGACTTGAACCGGCATCCACAGTGCCATCTAACCAATTACTACCGAGTCCTACACGTCATTGTCAGAATTCATATAGTACCATAATAAGTGGAAATTTTAAAAGATAGACAATATCTACGGACATATATATTATGTCTAATTTTTAAAATAAAGATAAATATTTAAAGTATAGATTCATTTTCATTCTTATTGAGTACATATGAAATATAGGTTGAAAACGAAATTCTGAAATTCACAATTTATTTATTACTTTTGGAGGATGTTGTTATATCTGTTTGGGACGTTTCAATAAAGCGCTAGACCGCAAGTGACTCACTTTATTACGAATGTTACTAATCTACCTACATAACAGATGGTATACACATTTACAAGTTTGCTCACTTGAGCAAAACAACTTGAGCATTATTTCTTCGGAAACTTTGAAGACCGCGCATAAAACTACAAGTAATTAAGATCTATTAAAACTTTGTTTTGCGAAGATGTTAGTGAGAATGAGTTTTTAAATACTGTCTATAGTTTACGCGAGTAGTACACATTTAAATAAAACACTTTAACGGTTTAAAACGCGATATATTAGTTAAACTTATTTGGAAACGATTTTTAACTTCGGCCCGTCGTTTAGGATGCTTTGCAGCAACCGTGGTCACGGGGAGACACGGGGAAACGTCGGGCCGAAGTTAAAAATCATTTACAAATAAGTTTAACTAATATATCGCGTTTTAAACCGTTAAAGTGTTTTATATGAGTTTTTAATTTTTCAGCACAACATATTATTATTATAGGGTATTTCACTCTCCATTAATTGAAGCATATGCTTGTCTGTGATTTACAAATAACACTTAGAAAACACAAATAAAGCAAAGTCGGTCGATTTGGTCTCGCAATAAATGATAAAATGTCAATATCTCTTTTAAAAAATGATACAAGTATGAGTAAACTCTATCAGAAAGGTTGTGTGAGATTCCGATGCCCCTCGTGGGGTATGGGGCAAACACATTTGGGTTACCGTTTCACTGATCGGTTTTTTTACAGGCAAGTACAGTAGATCAGACCTTTTCCCGGGATTCGGACCCAGAGCCTCTTGCGCTTAACGTAGTGCTACGCGATTAATAGAGGCGGTCAACGGAACAACAAGAACATACCATGTCTGAATTCTTATCGCCGCTTTCGTAGCTCAATGATCAAAGTTATACACAAAAGTTTCATCTACTATGTCTCTATGAATTGCCTAGTGACGGGAAACGGGATTTTATGGACACAAATTTAAGTATTGTCTGTAGCTTACGCGAATAGTACACATTTCAATAAAACACTTTTAACGGTTTAAAACGTAAAATATATTAGTCTTGGCCCTCCCGTCATCACGACTGCAGCAACAGCACGCCTCCCATAGTTAAAATTAATTGTAAAAAGTGTTTGTAACTTATATATTTCATGTTATAAACCGTTAAAATTTCTATCCCGGACTTCTTTTAAAAACCTTTATATAATCATTTTCTGTCTCTCCTAAATTGAACTTTCTTTTTTCTTTCCCTAGTTTATACTTTGTGAGTTTTTATCATTATTATTTTAAGTTTTTTTTTGTTTAGTTTAAGTAATTTGTGCACTTCTTGCACATTGTCTAGTTTTAATTATTTATATAAGTTTCTTTCTACTCTGGTTGCCTGGAAGAGATCGCATATAACGATAAGGCCACCCGGTACACTCTATAGTTTTAAGTTGCATAGTATCTATAAGTTCTGTTCTATTCCAATACACGATTTTATCAAAATTAGTGTAGCGATTTTGGGAGACAGCTTGGAAACATGGACAAGTTTAATAATATAGTGTAAATAAAACACTTTAACGGTTTAAAACTCGATATATTTTAGCAGCTGTGGTGCTGCAAATAAGTTTAACTAAAATAGATCGCGTTTTAAACCTTTAATGTGTTTTATTTAAATGTGTACTACTCGTGTAAACTGCAGACAGTATATAGTCTTCCAAGTACTAATGCAGTACTTCGCAAAGTCTCGCAGTGCAAAGCTAACGAAATCGTAAATTCAATCAAGATAAATCAAAGATGGGGAAAGTACGGCCTTCAGGGATGTTATCCCCTATTCCTTTTGACAGATACTGTACTTTTGTTAGACCACTTACATAACACAGAATGGTCTCTAAGGAAAATTATTGTGTATACATGGTGTATACATGGGTAAACATACAGTGCGAAATCCCGTTTCTAAATTATTGATATTATATATAATAGTATGTCATTGTGTCCTGATCGACCGAAATATAAAGTCATTAACCTGACTTGACTTGACATTCAAGATATAATTAAACATAAATACATTTACTCAGTCCTTATAATAGAGATATATGTAACTTATTAAATACGTAAGTAAGTAATTACAATATTTCTTAAAATCATACTGTAGTGTCCGTTTGTTTTTTAACCTTCTTGTGTATGCATAATTGTTACCTAAATCTGTCATAACTGAGGTAAATTAGATCATAATGAGGTAAATATTTTGTTTTTTCTCTAAAACTCCCAAATATGTTTTTTATTACGCGAATAATTGCAAAACAGGGTTTAAAGCGCGAAAAATATTCGGTAACATAATTTTAATTCACTTTGACTACTTTCATCCCGCGTTCTAAACCGTTAAAAATGTAAAAAAGTAGAAAGTTATGTTTAAAAATGGATAAGGTTAAAATGATTTAAAAACATAAGTATTTGTGGGATCAAAAAGAATCATGTAATAGAAGACGTTACAGACACGATAACAATCTTTTAAGTACAAAACTTTTTGGTTCGTTTAGATAATTTTCAACTTCAAGGAAATCGAATGAGAAAAAAAATTCCAACGCCGGCCATTC